TCCATAATGTAGTCTTTATTGCTTGGATCTGATTTGACAAACATGCTGACTACATCAGATAAATACTGCCGATGGATAAGTACCTCATAAAAACCCACTTTGAAACATCCAAACTATCCCTTTAAACCCTCCATGTCACATTCATGGGCAGAGTATAAAGATGTAATGAACTGTTAACACACTTCAACGTAGTAGTGAAGATGTATAAGGGCATTTGGAAAACCTTCTTGGCATGCCTGTAAATATAGCCTTCAGTGCAGTAAGCCTAGCAATCTGGCTTCAAGCTAAAATGAAAATAAAAAAAAGTTGTATCTTCTGCAAAAGTAAAGCTGACCACAGCAGCAGTTTTGGTCAATATAATAAAATGTCTCCACCTTCAACATGGAGGTTGTAAAATGACCAGTAAAGCCCAGGTTCAAATTCCCAAACCAACTAGGAGATGCTGTAATCCTGCCGTGCTTTAAACTTCAGCAACAGCTACTGTCCTGCTGTTCTGAGCGCAAATAGCTGACCTCTATTCTGATTCAGTTTAGCAGTTAAAACATTTCCAAGGCTGTGACTCTTGTTTGTACTGTAGCTTTTTTTACGACATGCTGTAAGCTCAAATGTATTGTGGAATACAACTTGACAGGTGACAGATGTTTGGATCTGAGGACTGAAAACCCTGGCAGTTTGTGCTGTCATCCCCCCATAATGAATACTTTTTTATTCTACGCAGCACTAGATCTGAAGCACATCAAACATTTCTGCAGAACATGTGCCAATCACAGAAAGAAAACTCTTGAATGTCAAGTTCAGTATGTTTGACCTTTTTATAAAAAATGTCTGCAATTTGATGCCTGAGAACCGAAGAAAAGAGGAAGAAAAGCTGGTATGACGCACACAGACAGCAATCATTACATTTGTGCACAGTGTATGCCCCAAAAAGTATTTAAAAAAGCTTCAAAAAGAATGGAATTAACATAACCTTAAATCTTTTCTTTATAATGACTAGTCGAACTATGGCTGTGCCTCATTTATCACCTGTGTACAGTTTATAATTGGATGGCATTATGTGAAAACATTCTTATCAGACTGAATTTATTTTTTAGTGCCAAGCACTGTTTTGGTAAAACTCTCTGGAATACTAATATGTAATGAACCTGTTTTTCTGTCGGATGATAGAAGATTTATTTTCTTTATTTTTTAGGGAGTTTATATTCTATGCACTTTGAACGGGGATTTGAACATTCTCTTTCAATGAGTAGCAGAATAAATAAAAAGCAGGCTCATTCAGACTCTTCATTAATTAGTATGCTCCACTGGTTTATCACAAAGCTCTCTAATAATAAAAAAGAATAACTCAGGATGAAAGCAAAAGCATTTATTTATCCATGGTGTTATTGAGGTCACAGAAATAACTAGTCATTTTTCTTTGCATGTCTCAGAAATTGTTGTGTATAGAAATATTATGCAACACGCTGCATTTGGAAGCTTTTGAATACATAATGAGGGATTTTATTATACGGAAGAGCATGTACCGTAATTTTCGGACTATAAGCCGCACCTGAATATAAACCGCAGCAGCGGCATACGACTCTCGGTTCCACTCTTACTTTTGCGCGCTACCTGTCTCACTCCTGAGACTGCCAAGGCACACNGTAATACACGTTTCAAAATGATGCCGAAGTAACAACATACTGATACCGGTTAGTAAAAACCATGAATTAATGCTTTGACAAGTCTGCAGACAGACGGCAGGCGACTGCCGTCTGTCTGCAGACTTGTCAAAGCATTAATTCATGGTTTTTACTAACCGGTATCAGTATGTTGTTACTTCGGCATCATTTTGAAACGTGTATTACAATTAAATCACGGTAAAATATGTTCATCTTGTTGTAGTTGTAGCCCCCTTGACAGCGATTCTCTCTTTAGTTTAGCAAACTCAGCCCGACTCCGCCCTGTTTGTTGGCCTCGATAGAACCACGATTTAGTCGGGCCAGAAAAAAGGTGAAAAAGTAGCCCCGGGCCGGAACTAGGCCAAGTGGAAGCGCAACCAAAAACAGGCCCCGCACGGCTCGGCACGCTTAAAGCGAGCTCCGCGCTGTACTGTAGTGTGAATGAGCCATGTGTTTGATTTATTGAAAAAGGTTTATATAACTCTGACTCGCAGACAATAAGAGAGGAGAAAACTAAAAATCAAAGTCTCAATCTCGCACAAAGATACATAATCACACTGTGCCATGAGCCCACCTGTCTTTCCCAAGGTTTTATCTTAAAGAGGGTATTTGAACATAATTGTGCCCTCTTCACTCAAGTGTTAGAGCAACCCAGTCTCACAAAATTTCGTGTTATAGTCACAAAATGTAATCTATTGATTCCTGTTCACCAACACGATTTTCCCCTTTTTTTCGTGTCACACAGAATGATTTTAAAAGCAATGCATTTATATTGGTATTATGTTTCGTGCCTGCACCACGTCTTTTTGTCCGGTCGGGTCTTGGAAGACCGGAAGCTGTGTGGTTCATAATAACATTTTCTTTCTATAATGTCGGACTTTTTTTTGCCATCCGTGAGGAAAATAAATGGGGCTCAGAATACTGAAATATGTATTTTTTAAAATCTTTTTTTCCTTCTAATTTGTTATTCTTTTCTACACTCGTAACCTTGGCGCACTGCCACTCCAACATCCAATCACAGAGCTTGAAGACTAATCAGGGGGTTTGTCAAGTCCCAAACGATAGCTGAGGAGTAGTGTCTTCGGCCATCCTAAACTCCGAAAAACTATTTGTTTCTCCGAATCGAAGGGGGAAAACACAAAATCATTGTACACAATTTAAACCAATTAATGTTGTGTAATTAACAAGGATAAACTGATGTTTTTAGTTGATGAGTACAGCAGATATCACTGTAAAATCATTTGACAGTGAGGGGAATACTATGTTTTACTATGAAAACTTTGAGACCGGAAATACTGTTTTCACCCCAAGCTGTTGCCTGGCAACGCAATTCTGTATAGTTATGGCTGATAAGGCTTATTACTTATTGGCTTATTAGTTATTACTGTTTTTATATTTTAAACCCCAAGCCGATGGAAAAACCCCACAGCAACATAGAAAAGACGGTCATAACTAATTTTGAAATTCAGTTCTTGACGGACGGCAAAAAAGTCAGAGATTATAAAATTAAACAAATAAATAAAAACAAGGATAATTGTGTGTTACTGTTGAGTAAATAACAGTGTGTTATTTAGAAAAGTCAGTCAGGACTCAGAGAGACACGAGGAGAGCTTTGATGGCAAACACTGATGGTTGCCAAACCAATTCTGAAGAACTCTTCTGCAGCTCGATGTTTTAACTAGTTCAGAGTATAATAATCTACATTCTTTATCAGTGAGACTAAACAATTATGGACCCTGAATCTAACTAGAGCTCTCGTCCACAGAAAATAATGTGTGCCAGGGAACCTACGTCCCTGAACAGTAAACTACCTCATGGCGGCTTGTGCTCTGTCATAGACTGGCAACAACAATTTGCCCAAGCTGCCCCTCCTTAAGAGAGATAGCAGCAATACCCAAGGCAGTAGAACTATGCCATGGGAAAAGAGACAGTAAAGAGAGAAAACGATGAACTGGGTCGAAGGTTGAATACCTAAGCCAATCATTACTGGAGCTAACTCGTTTTGATAATATCTGCCAGCAACAGCAGACAATATCTAAGGTTGTTGAATGTTGGCTACTTCCATAATTTAGAGAGGTAAATCTGTTTAAAGTCCTATAAAATGTTCAGTCATATAAAGAGTCAACTATTTCAATGAGTTTTAGCCTTAACCTTAGCTTTTACTAGCTATCTAGTGTTGATATCCAACACAGGCATTTCGTGTTATAGTCACAAAATTAATCTATTGATTTGTGTTCACCAACACGATTTCCCCATTTTTTTCGTGCCACACAACACTTTTAAAAGCAATAATAACAAATTAGAAGGAAAAAGACATTTGAAAAAATAGAGATTTCAGTATTCTGACACAGAACGATTTTAGAAGCAATGTATTTATATTGGTAGTATCGTGCCTGCACCAAATAATAACAAATTAGAAGGAAAAAAATATTTAAAAAAATACAGATTTCAGTATTCCGAGGCTCTGAGCCCCATTTATTTTCCTCGCGGATGGCAAAAAAACTCTGACATTGTACTATTTAAAATAAAAGGGTTAGGCTTAGGTAAAATATTGAGTAAGAAAATGTTTTTAAGAACCACACAGCTTCCGGTCTTCCAAGACCCGACTGGACAGACCCGTGGTGTAGGCACGAAACATACTACCAATAGAAATACATTGCTTTTAAAATCGTTCTGGTTGACACGAAAAAAATACGAAAATCGTGTTGGTGAACACGAATCAATAGATTAAATTAATTTTGTGACTATAACATGAAATGCCGTGAGACTGGGTTGTAATATCTGCAAGCGAAAGCCAAAGGTTGTCGACTATCAACTACTTGCAAAATGCAGTGTTGTAAATCTTTTATTTTATCATTTTAAACTGCATATAAACTAGAATGGAAAGTTTGACAGGCAAAGCAACCATTGCTAAGGTATTTAGCAAAATCTGTATAGTTCTTCATAATAGTACTTTATCCCCTCATTTTGCTAATTTTTGGTTACTGTAGCTCCTACATTATCATTTGTGGTTACATGTGGGTTTTCACTGTTCTATGTTTAGATATTTTATGCTGATATAAATCATTGGGTTGAATTTTGGGCTTCTCTTTTTGGTATGCCTCCACATCCTGCCTGAACCCACCACCCTTATTCCCTGTGGAACTTTATTTTTCTTTAAAATGAATCCTGTCCTGCGTAATGCATGTCCGCTTGCAGTGTGAGAAGTAATACTTCTAGTGTGAATGTCTGCTTTAAAATGTGGCTTTAGTAGTTGTTGTTGTTGTTGTTGTTGTTGTTGTTGGTCTTGTCGATTGACATGTTGCTGCTGTTGTTTGTTGTTGTGCTTCTCCTTGCAGACAGTCTGGTTTGATCTGCACCAGAGGCTAACAGACACAGATGGCACTACCAGCGCAGTAAGTAGACACTAAATGAATCACCATTGCACATTATTACACTGCAACCGACAGCCCTGGGTGCAGCATCACTTTCTGCTGCTTCACAAAGGCCAAGTATCAGTACAGTACTACCTCAGGCAGAGTATTACAAGGCTTAGACATAATTAACATGGGACAGCACTTCTGCACGACCTTATCCGAACAAAAATAATCCCGGTCTTAGTGCCTGTCCCATGGGCGGTGATCTTTTGTATTATTTCCCTGGAAAGCTGCTTATTTTGTTTGGTTGTCTGGAGCTGAATAATTTATAGACACTGGGTATTCTCCAAAAGAATTAATAGAATCACACGCTATCTTACAATACCTAACACCCACAGGGAAAGTAACATGTCAGCTTTTCTAGAAACATACTGCATATTTAGGGTGTGTGATAGTGTCTGTGATACTGATCAAATGAGCACTATCCTTTTTCTCCTCCTTAGGCTGTATCTGATCTGAATCATACAGTAAATCAGAAAGTGTTCACTTACAAAAGCTCAACAGTTTGATACCATTTCCTGATATATTTTCACCCAAGACTGCTACAGCACTTCTGTACCTCCAGTGAGTAGAGATAAGTGTGAGTGCAATAAATATAGCCATTCTTACAGGTCTGAGCGCCTGCAAAAAGCCATAAGCAAACTATTGTATATAATACAGATTTATTGTATTCACATGCACTTTATACAACACCCGCTGTAATGCAAAAAGATGCCGGAGACGTTAAAAGTGCCTGAATTTTGTCGTCTTGTCTCAAGTTGTCTCTCACATTTTTTGGAGTTTGTTTTAAACGAGATAATCATTCTTTCAGACTGATCACTGGCAACAGTGTAACGTTACAGTACATTTGGACCATTTGTGTTTTTACACAAGCAATCACTACAACACCAGCCTGGCTAACAAAACCCATGCCTCCCCAATAAAACGCTGTGTCTTCGCTAAGACATATGAAAAAATGAATTTCATCCTATCCATCAGATCTGTTTATGCAAGATTGTAGATCTCCATCACAGTAGATCTGTTCACAAGCCTCATTTCCAATCACACGCTTAGCCACAAATGGATCAAGAAACTTTCCATCTGCATGTCACCACTTGGACAACAGGAAGTAAAGTTTTACAGATTTGCGAACTTCTTGAGTAATGCCAAAAGAGCCATTCCTTCAAGTATGCAGTTCTCTTAGTTTGGAAAAGTAAAATGGGAGTCTTTTCGTCCCTGGTGTGCACCTTAGCCGTCAGGGTCCCCCGCCAACATCACTTTTAATGTGACACTGATAAAGACACTTGGAAAATATATATTTGTAATCATCAGTAATCAAAATATGAAAAAGTAAAGTCAAAAACTATAATTTGGTTATATTACTGTTTTTAAAACAGATGTTGCTTAAACCAGTTATGCAAAATGCACTTTTTGATGTCTTTTATACATAAATATGTGTCCCCGGTGTGTCAGGGAACTCACAAAGTGTCAGAAAACAAAACCCAGTCTCTCTTTTCCTCCGTACCCACATCTCAAAAAAATAAATAAAAATGGGGGTGCTAACAAGCAGATCCATAATTTTCGCTCCTATTACGTCATTGGCGACATCCGGCCGACGTGACACGTCCCAACCATGGTCCTAACCTATCGTCTCCGGCAAACGTGACACGTCCCAACCTATATTCTCCGGCACACGTGACACGTCCCAACCTATCGTCTCTGTATACAGTCGCAGCTGTGTGTCTGTGTATTCAGCAGGATGTCTGCTGGAGGCTTAGAGTAAAGTTGTTATATTATACATATAATGGCACTGTTCTAGCGGTAAACACTTAAGAAAGAACAGGTCAAGCTATGTGCTGTATCAGAAACAATGCGCGGCGTGTTTTGGGAGTAATATGCTGTGTGTTTACATTAGCAAGCATGCTAACACTCAGAGCTAACCATAGAGCTAACACTGTAGGCTACTGGAGAGAATATGTGTAACATAATGTCCTTGTGGTAAACCCTGCGAGAGAGAAAGGTTTGAGCTCTATACTGTTTCAGAAATAAAGCTTGAAGTGGTTAGGAGCAGAACATGGCATTTAATCACCGCAGCGTTTAGCTGAGATCTCCTGGTTGAAATCTCTCTCTAGCAGGGGAAAGCTGCATGACGCTACAAAGGGGTGTGGCTAGCAGCAGACGTTCAATTTAAAGCAGAATCAGCCTGTTTGGAACAGGGCTGCAATAGAGGGGTATGAGCAGTATGAGGCATGGCTACAATGGGTGATCTGTTTGGTATTTTAAGCAAAAAACTTCACAGACATGTTTTTTCATAGGTATGGCCCACAATATATTTTTCCAATATAGCACAATAGGTCCACTTTAACAATAAATTTAAAAAAACGAACAAAACTGTAAAATCATGCCTCAATTATTATTAAAAGAATACTTATCATACAAAAGTATCAAAATGATAAGTCTACAGCCATTCTCTGTGAAGCTGTATCAGGACTGTTGTCTTGCTAAACCAAAAGTACTAAAAAAAACAAAGAAATTGGACAGATTATAATGTTAGATACTGTGTATATATATATATAGTATATATATACTGTAAGGTCATTGCAATTCATTCTGAGGGGAACATATGTCTTTACTAATTGTCAGGGAAATCAATCAAAAAAGTTGCCAAGATATATCACAAAACAAAAACATCACCATGATGATATCACCATGAACATTTCGGCAGACTTCCAAAATGTAATGGAAATCCATCCAATTAGTTGAGATGGACTAAAATTGCCATTTTTTTAAGCCCTAGTCTGGCCCCAAGATCACTCCATCGTAAAATGATATCTTGCCCATCTGTGCCACAAGGAGTTTTCTTCTTCTGCCTGCATGAGATCGGTGCAATAATCACCTTTTGCACTTGTACACACAGCAGTCGGGCCACTTATGGCTCTCCATTTTCTGTCGGCAAGCAGCAAGAGCACTGACAAAATTGTTGAGTTGCTGTCATGGGCACAGACATAGAGAGGTTATTATAAGAGACTGCTCATATGCACTGAGAGGGAGAAGTCTCAGGTTGTTCTTTAAAATGCATGAAAAGGAACACTTCTAAAACACCCAACAAGTGGCCCATTTAAAGGCGAGAAGACAAAGAACAGTCAAATGAAAGAAACAGGCAGATAAAGAGAAGGCACCAGTTAAAAATAATTACTCTGGGCACATAAAAATACCACCCTAAAACAACTTTTAGGGAGATTGAAGAAGTAGCCCTCAGCTATTACCTATCTTTCCAGGGTCCGTTTGTTTGTCTGGTTGTCTGCTGTACAAAAGCAGAATCCGAAGGGGAGTTTTGCCTTCAAGATAAACATATTTGTGTATTCACACAGACTGGGAAAACACTCTGCTTCAGTTCCCATGGTAATGTAGCAGGAGCTTCATCTCACTTCCCCAGAAGTCCATACATAGCTTGTTGGGTGTACTAAACAGTCAGTGCTACACGTTGTTAGATATGAAAGCCATTGTAGTTTCCCAATTTAATAGCCTATTTTCATAGTAATCATGATCATGATAATCAAGTCCTAAATACCACATTTCAAAATGGGTAGTTGAACTTTTATGAAATAGATTCATTACCATGCTTTTTGTAGCCCTAACACACAGGCTTTGACCTCACGTGTGACTTTATGCATTATTAAAGGCATGGCCACTTGAGAGACATGTGGGTGACCCCTAGCTGGAAACTGTCAGTTTGCCTCAGATCCACCAATCCACCTCTTCCTCCATTACAGCACAAACTAGGAGTTAGGCAGGGTCAGCACTGCCAAGATGGTGCCAACTTGAGCCATACATGTGGAGCTTTGAAGACAACTTCTATGTTTTATGGGTGGAACCTTTGTTACAAGTTAACAAATATTGTGTATAAAAATCTACCACCAGAACATAAGCGTATAGAGTGAAGCCAGCATGCTGAATGTCAGGTTCAGATTTAATAAGCACTCAGCTTTTCCTTCAAATCTTCTACCATCCACCTTTCACCTCTTCTCGTTGTCCCTTCATCTCACCCTCTTATCAGACAACTGTGTGCATCATCACCCCTGAAGCCTTCTGTTCCTCGAAACCTTTTACTGCTTCCTGACAGAGATTACTCTTAACAAGGTCATGCTCCTCTTCACCTTAACATAATTTCACCATGTCTCTGAAGACTCCATCTCCCCCGGACCTTTATTCTCTACCAGAGATCCACATTTGATTACTGCCATCTCTTCTCCATTTCAGTCCTCTGTCAAAGCAATCATCCCTCCTCGCTGCACAAAGATACCTCTGTGAGTTATATAACCGCACAGGGGATCATAATAAGATCATATACTGTATAAGAGACGCAGAGATACTTTGAAACTGCAGTTGTGAAGCTGGATTAGCATGAAGTGGACGCACGTGCGTAGTGAGCGGCAGGCTTACAATGAATTGTGTCATGAGAAGAAGGTGAGTCCATCACATACACTGTATATTGTCATTCTGTTGATCCTCTGAAGGCACATAACCAAGAGGGAGTGTTGCAATGAAAGAAGCTGATGTTGATACAAAACTTAATGTAAAGGCGTGAGTTGGATGAAAGCGCAGATAAAAGAGTGATGAGATATAATGAAATAAGGAAAGGGAATGAGAAAAAGAAAAAGGGTTCTGTTTTTTAAGAAAGGATGGTTTCAATAGAGCCTGAAGTGTTTTTTTGTATCTCAACATTTTTCCCTCCTCTGTTTTGAATCATTCAATACAAAATATTGGCACAGCTATGATTTTATAAATAAAACATATAATTACCTAGAAGGCAAGGAGCACAAACCTACGCCAACATTCAACTATTTTCCTTCCTGCAAAATTGAAGCGTCCAAATTAACATTTGACTCCTGGGATTGATCTTTCAAAAAAGAAACAGTCACAGTTGTCTAGTGCTGAATATTTTAATCAGGACTAAGTTTCCACAGCCACTCTAGCGTTGGTGGAGCGGTGGTAAAGTC